CCAAAAGTATACCTAAGTACATGCTTAGCTAAGCATGTGAGCAGTTCAGTTTATACCATACTCAAGTGCTTAAAATTAGGCAGAGGCATAAGTGTTGTCCTGGATCAGGCTGCTCCTACTTTATTTCCATGGTCTGCCTTTTTTTTTTATGGGCCCAGTCCTCCTTCTCTTGAAGGCAAATTCAGAACACCCATTTATTTCCCTGGGATTGGGATTGAGTCATTAAGACGGAGAGTATTTTTGAAGCAGATCTGCAGAAAAGATCTACTTATCCTGCGTTAGCTATTTATGAACTGAAGAGTATTTGCATTCTCTGGAAGTGAAAACCTTTATCGTAAGACCCAAGAAGGACAGCTTCTGGTGATATCTTGTTTAGAAAGAACATGCCACTCTACTGTGAATTGCACAGACTTCTGCCATGTTCCATAATGCCGTGTGCAGAAATGAATGCCTCAGATTTAAAAAGCTAATAAAAATTAAAGCAATTTTAGGGTCTGATGCAAGGCCCATCAAAGTCCGTGACAAGGTATTCATTGAATTCAAAGGGCTTTAGATCAGAGCCATGGTGAAATTCAAAACAGGATTAGAAAAGTTTGACTAATAATTGCAATTGCATTTACTTGGGTAAAAATACTTAATGATAGCAGTCCTCATGCTTCAGGGCATGAACTGATTGCCAGATGGTATCAGGAAGACATTCCCCTTATGTTTTAGTCCAGGTATTGCACAATTGGCCAGGTGCAGTTTGTCTGGTAATTTTTTTTTTAAATTTAATGTCATCCAAAACATTCAAAATAGAAAACAGTCAAAACAGGATACCAACCTGTTGCAAGTGAACTGTTTGTCAGGTCAGTTATGACACTTCACAGTAACACCAAAGTAGTGTAAACTAAAGGGCTCTTAATGTAAATGTGAAGTATCCTTATAATAGAAAGATAATATATATTAGATATGAATAAAGTAATATTTATAAAAAAAATAAGTCTCTTGTTTGTTAGACATTTAAACTAATATTTTTTGTAAGGCAAACATAATCAGAACACCTTGAAATTTAAGCCTTAATTTTACAGTTTAAATTTATTTCTAAATTAAGTTGACATTACACAAATTTTGGAAGTTCTTGTGTTGGAGGAAGAAAGAAGGATGCAATGAAGAATTTTTCACTTATTTAAATACGTTTTGAAAAGATGTTTTGTTGTACTAACATTTTGATTTTTTTTTCTTTAATGTGGTTGGTAAAAGTTACAAAAAAAAGTTTTGCTGTATGTCCTTTTCTATGTTACCTAACCTCTTGGCATGTTTGTCAGAGACTAGAGTGTCCTTGAAGTTCTAACCTTTTGGATTAGCACATGCTTTGCTTTTGACTCCAATTCAGTAGTGTTTTAATGCTATGCTGAATGAAAGCCTTTGTAAGTATACTATTTTCTTTAGCGTGCAGTGTCATCTGCAAGTGTCTTTTTGTATTAAGTGGTGTGTGGTGGCTATAGATGTATTCTGAAAGGAGTATTTATTCAGCAAGTTAATATCACTGTTTAGTTTCAGAGAGATGTTAGTGCTGTTGGAATGATTTTACTAGATTGCTGTAACAGTGTTGGCAGATTTTGATGGGTATTTTTCTGGGGTGATTGAGAATCCTGTCCTTCTCTGAACTCAGACTTTTCATAGTGAACACCACTTATCAAAGCACAACCACTTTTTTGGAATAGCTCCTTCTGAAATTCCAATTTTGATTTGATAACATCACTAATATGTGTTAGCTAGGGGTTTATTTAGCCATTATTACTATTAATCAGCTATGTAACTCAGTTAAACTTAGGTAATGTATAGTGTCTGGTTACTTCCTAAAGATGGCTGTAAAACTGGATTCAAATGTACTGTTAAATTATTAGGCCCACTCTCCCCTTTCCCATTGGCTTCTGCATATGCTGTGCTGTAGGTATTCTGTTCTGCCTGCATACCTATTTGTAGCATCTTCTGTTTTATTCTTATATGGGCTTTCTGTGGCAACGGTAGGTTCAAATGTCCACAGAGGTAACCAAGTTTCTGCTCTTACAGAAAAAAAAATCACCACTTTTATGTATATCAGCCCACATTTTCTCGTGGCTCTTTAAGAAAACCTAACAATGGGGAACCAGATTCAAGTTGTCTCAGTAGATGTTTAAGTGGGACTTTGATGGGAATAGATACCTAAAGAGTGATTCAAATTGACTTGGTGCCAGCACCCTAAAATCTCATTATGTTAGTAAATCCAGAACATTCTTCAGTTTGGGACTACAGAGTTGGTAAGTGATTGCACTTAAGTGCATTTGTCCATAAGGGGTCCAGGACGAGGAACCTGCACTGCTGGAGTGGCACCCCCCCACCATGCTACTTGAGCAACAGACAGGAATTTTTTTAAAGTTCCTGAATCGGGTAAAAATTCCTCTCCCCCACTCACAACACCCTGTCCGCTCCCCTCTGTTTGTGGCACCTCCCTGTCCCCTTCCATTTTCACCCTTGCCCTCCCTACCAATGCCTTTGGGTGCAGGAAGGGGAGACCTACCTGCCACTGTCACCACTGTCCTAGCTGCTTCTGCCCTACTCCAGCCAGGACTGTGGGAAGTGGCTGTGTGTGGAGCTGGGTTTGGCTGGGGACAGAGGTAGTGGCAGGTGGGTTCCTGATCCCTGCATCAGCTCCTGGACTGATAGGAAGCACCCAGGGGGACTAGGCAAGGAGTGGGAACCTGGGCACCATCACTGCTGCTCCACTGAGCATGGTGGAGAAGGATGGGGGCAAGGAGTCTTATCTGATTCCGGGACTTAAAATATTCCTGGCTGCTGCTCCCACAGTATGGTCCAAAGGGAAGGGGTGCAGTCATGACAATGCACCTCCTCTGGGTCTGCTTCTGCGTGTCTGTGCAGAAACAACCCAAAGCACATATTTCGGTGACGATAACTCCTTCCTAGGCTCTAGTGCAGTTCAAATTAGCCCTGGAAGGCAACCAAGCTTTGCTTAAGACCCTAGAAAGGACCATGCTGGTAAGCAATAAAAATGCAACCAGTTCATATCAACACCACTAAATTCAGCTTAAAACTGATGGTAGTATCATCCTCGTCCTCCTCCCTGTCAACCTAGTGTTAAGTCCTGTGTCCAAGAAGTAGGAGACCTAGGTTCTAGACTTTCCTCACCTGGTGGGGGCTCAAATCTACATTTCCCACTTCCCGTGTAAATGGGTTAACACCAGGAGATAGAATAGGCTAAGTGACTGGACTTCACCACTCCTGTTGAAGTTGGGCCATTGAAAAATGCATGAGTCATTGGCTAGGGACAGACATTACACATAAACCGGTTTAAGTGATCAAAGACTGGTTTAAACCTGTAACAAAACAGACGTTCAGTGAACATAAACCAATTTGAAAATGGCTGAAACTGTTTTGAGATAAACCTGGTTGAATGTAGTATCAGACTTAATTGATTTGGGTCAAACCAGTTTATGCAACATCTGTCCCAGACCCCTTCCTGGTTTAACTTAAACCAAAGTACCCCAGCATCCCAGGTGCTTTGCAGCCCTGGGCTGGGGCTCTCGGTTCCACAGAAGAGCTAGCCCTCCCCTCTGCTCCCTGGCTGGAGCTCTGGCAGAGACTGCAGACACAGCAGCATCTGCCTGGCTTCCTCCTGTCTCCCCCCTGCCTCACTCCCCACTCAAGCAGGGATTCCCCCCTCCCCTCTCCCACAACAAGGACTGTAGCTAGCATTTTGTATGCTACTAATGCTGAGAGGTGTCTGTGTAAGGCAGACAGGTCAAAGGCAGACAGGACAGTATCTGCTTACAGTTTTTTGGAGCTAAAAGAAGAGCTTAAACTAATGAGGCTTTTGCTTTCTTGATGGGCTGATAAACAAGTTACTCCCTGTGTAACTCCCTGCTGTGTAAGTAAATACTATGCAACTCCTTGCTGGCTCCATTGCTGGTCAGAAGCAGCGGGAGGAGGGGGAGAGATAGACCCCTCCCAAATCGGAGCATCCTGCCGGGGCCTGGCCATGCCCTCCTTGGCTCAGGACTGCGGAAGGGAAGGGAGGACTGCTCTAGTGCCCCCCTGGCTTCTAGCCTGAGCCATTGCAGGCATGTGTCTGAATTTCTTCAGTCCAGAGAGGATATCTGCACAGTTACAAACCAGTTCAGCCTAGCCAGGTTAGACTAACTTGCAAAGATTTAATCGATTCAGGCTTTTTGAATGTCTGTCCCTAGCCATAGGGTCAAAAGGATAGAGAGCTAACTGTTGGCCAGGGCTTAGGACACTTCTGGGAGAGGAGACTCCTGAGTTCTAGCCTCTGCTTCCAGGCTTACTTCTAGTTTTTGTACAATAACTGTGTAATGTAAAAAGCATTAACAGTGCTTGGAGCATGGTCCAGTGTCTAGCACTAGCCCTTCCCAGAGGAGTACTCCAGCCACTAGCCTGCAGGGAGAAGCTTTCTTCTGCTTAATCTGATGCCCCATGACTTAGTAGTTGCTATTGGCTACTTCTGAATTGACCTTTGAGGATGCTTAACACTCCCCATTCTTTGTATACAGTGCCTAAAAGCCTAAACCTGAATTACTCATAGGTATCTCTGTTTCCCCCTTGGCTGCATTAAAACTCTAGGTGGCTATCTGGGTTTTTTGGGAAGGCATCCAACTCAAAAGTTAGGCAGCATAACATTGAAGTCAAAACACCTACAGAGGCAATTTGCATCTGGCCCACAGTCCCCATTCCAAGAGGCTTACAATCTAGTTAGACTTATTGTAATGTAAGATCAATGCCATAGATTTAAAGGAAGAAAAATTAATTGAGGTGAGTTGATTATTTTTTAAAAATTCATTGTTTACCATTTCTTCAGACTATTGCCATTTGTTCTGTATCAGTTGTTTACCCACACTTTCTGTACTTGTATGAAATATGTACTTAAGCAAAAAGGAAAATGTCATTTTTATTTTGTTTGTGACTCTGTCTCTCTCCTTCCCTCCCTCTCTCTCTCTTTGCAGCAGCACTTTTCAGTATACTCTAGAAGCTACCAAATCATTGCGTCAAAAGCAGGGAGAGGGACCCATGACCTATTTAAACAAAGGACAGTTCTACGCCATTACTCTGAGTGAGACGGGTGACAACAAGTGTTTCAGACATCCCATCAGCAAAGTCAGGGTATGGCTGACTTTTTGTAGAGAAAATAGATTTCTTTAGACACATTTAGGGTGGGATGTGTTATTTTATGTGTGTGAAGTGCAGAAACATTTTGCTCGAATGGTTAGCATAAGCATGGGAAAAGTTATCTGTGACTTGGACTTGTGTTTTGGTTTTTCTAAGTGTTGTCTCACAAGCCAACTAGTTGCAATATAGACCTTTCTTAGGCTGTATTTCAGCAAAACACTTTACCACATGACTGCTCCCGCTGACTTCAGTGGAACTACTAATAGTTCAGTAAAGCACTGAATCTCGTGCTTCATTTTAAACACATGCTTAAGTCCAACCCTATTCAATAATGCATTTCAGCGGGCACTTAAGTGCCGCTGAAGTTTAGTGAAATTCAGATATACACCTGATTGAGTCTGTAGCTCACAAAAGTTCTTGTGGAGCTGAAGGCATTTTCTAGTTTGTAGGACTGGGCCACTAATTGTAGCATCAAATTCAGAACAAATATGTTACATAACCGCAATCTGTTATTTTATATTTGGTTAAGAAAAACATAGCATTTAGGGCAATTTCCACCTTCTCAACTTCTGAAAATAGAACTGCTGCCAGCTAATTACTGACAGCTTAATTCTGGTGAATACACCAGCTGGCAATGTTTTCAAATAAACTGGTTTTATCCTTATAAGTTTGGAGTGGAAACTGAGCCACAAAGTTGCTGCCTAGAGAACTGCACTCTCTCCTGAAGCTTAAAGTACTGCAAGCCTTTGAAGTAGCAAAGATCTCCCCATACAACTTAACAAAGTACTACAAGATTGAGAACTTTATGACCATGGTGGCATAATCTTATTTTAAACAAGACTTCTATCCTGTGTAGAGTGGAGAGAGTGGGGAACTAAAGCAGAATTAAATGGATCCATTTATTCAGGCTCTCTAATCTTTTGTTGGAGCTGCTAGTGTTTGTGACATGCCCTTCCTTTGCCAGTTTGTAGCCAACACTGTAACCATGGAAGAAGGAAGAAAATGTAAATATAAATCGTATAACAAACTCCAAAACCAAAGTTGATGGAGGTTCTACATTAACGTCACTGGCCACTGGATCCAGGCCTCAAGGGAACGGCTTAGATCTATATCTGATGTGTAATTTGAGGAGAATCTTTCCATATTAATGCAGTGGCTGTAATAAACCTTCTTATATTTATAATATAAGACTCCTGGTCATAAGAAGGATGTTTAGGACTAAGGGTTTTTTAAAACTATATACCATATTTACTTGGTTCTAAGACATAGGTTTTTTCTTCATTTAACATGTGGGGGGAGGAAGCCCTTCATTACAGAATCAAGAACAAGGATTGGGTGGAGAAGCAGCAGCTGCTATGGCTTGGGCTTCAACCCCTACTTGGTGTTGGGACCGGGAACATGATCACAGCTGCTGCTTATCTCATCCCCTGCTGTTTCTGCACCTCGCCATCTCCCCCCTGCTGCTGCTTTTCCCCATCACCCCATCCACTCAGCCTCCACTCCTCTGTCTGTCTGCCTGTCTCCTTCCCCTCTTATCTTTGCTCTACGCTGGCAGGCTCTGTCCATACTG